TATATAATATTTATATACCTGACCGGTCTCTACCAGCCTGGTTAACAGCCGGTATGGTTCTCAGCCCATCCGACTGCCCGTATAGCCCGATAGATCTCAACCAAATCGGGGTAACATGCACACATAACACATAGCAAGCACATGCAACCCATATTAACACATTGGGAAGGGGGAAACGTATAACGAAACCTATGCGTGATCCTTCACATGCTAAGAATAATCCTAAGGGGTTCATACTTCTTTCACCTAGGTCAACGGGATACCAATTCAACTAACATGCAATATATAAGACTCATACAACCTACGAACGGTACCCGAAATATCAAACTAGACATAGGCACGATAGACGGAGTCCGTTGGGACACCACGGGGGTCGGGGGACATCAAACGGGGAAGCCAAAATCCCAAGGTGGGGTACAAACCAGCGGGTAGCCGGTGGGTGAGGGGTCACCCGCCGGCGGCACTGTTCCGGGCAGCGGGTGCCCGGCGGGCAGCTGCCCGCCCGCCGGCTGCCCGCTGCCGGCGAGGCCTCCTTTGGCCGTGGGTAGGTGGCGGGTCCCCTACCCCCACCTACCCCCCACTGACTCTTTTTCACCAAAAACGCCCCGGGAACCTTTGTGGAACCCGAAACCATGCTTAGACACTTTCAAACGCAATTGATAACACACGTAGACAATTAACGGATCAAAGTTAAGAAACGTACGGCACATAACCTATCATGATTTTCTAAATATAATCAACACCCAATCATGCGAATTCCTACCCAATATACCAAGAGTAATACCATACGAATTCCACGATATAACCTAGGGTTCTAATTATTTTTAAATTAACAAGAACACAATTCATCTTCTAAAATCCAGATTCGGTAGGAATATCATATAAATATTAAGAACATCATATAATCATTAAGAACATCAAGAACACCATATAATCATCAAGAACGTCATATAATCATCAAGAACACCATAATTATCAAGAACCTCTCATTATCAAGCTCACCCATGGAATCATCCCACCAATAATAATATCACAAAGAGAAAATTTCAATTTTGGTCACACGATTATAAGGGATTTGTTAATTTCAGCATCTAACTTTTAAAAGTGTCAATTTAGTACCTTGAGTATGTAATTTTTGTCAATTTTGGTCACTCCGGCCAAATTGCCGGCCAAATTTGGCCGAAAAAATTTAATACAACATTTAGTCTAAAATTTGAGGGGCAAAATGGTCTTTTGTATCCTTTGGTGTTGACCGAATTAATTTATACTAAATGTTGGATTAAAATCTGATTTGGATTGCGATGGTAGCACCGTGGGGAAGACAAGGATCGTTTTGCATTCTCCAATGGAATCTGAATTGCAAGAGTTATCCAAGCCTTCCTATGAGAAAAATGATAGCTTTGTGATGGATAATTCTCCACATTCTACGAGCACGTTAAGCTGTGGTAATGTCATTCAGACCCCCAAGTTAGATTCAAGCTCAGCCCTAGATTTTGGATTGTCGTGGCTTAATGTAGACGAACATCATAAGCAGCCTGGATTCAAATATGAACTTGATAAGGTTACAGAAATTCTTCGCAAAGCGAGCCTATCACCTCAGAATTAGATGCCAACTCATGATGCTCCTGGGATGAGTTTCAAGTTTACTAATTCAACCTCGCCTTTTAGTTTCATCAGCATCGCTGAATGTCAAAAACGCAGGGATGCTGCTGCATCTTTGCTTTCCGATTCCTCATTTGGAAATGCATCTGAGTCTAACATGAAAATATCGTGGAGGGATGGATTAGTCAGTGTCAGTCGAACTATTGAGATGGATGAGTTAGATCACTGCAGGTGCTTGTCAGATGAAGAAAACGAGAATCTATGTTGCGCTAATGATCTATCTTAAATTAAATATGAGACATTATCATAGAAAATACCATTTTACCCCTCAGAAATGTTGGATTAAATTATTCCGGCCAAATTTGACCGTCAATTAGGCCGGAGTGACCAAAATTGACAAAAATTACATACTCAAGGTACTAAATTGACACTTTTAAAAGTTAGGTGCTGAAATTAACAAAGCACCTATATTCGTGTGACCAAAATTTAAATTTTCTCTATCACAAATCATCAATACACAATAATATGGGGAAATTCTAAGAGGGGAATCATAGCTATGAAAATAGGTTTTGTTGAGACATGGGTTACCTCTTAGCCTTAATTAATTCCTTGGCTATGAAGGGTCTTTCTTTTAAGCTTTCTTGCTTTCTTGATTTCTTTTAAGGGAATTCTTGGAACTCTTTGGGTGGTGAGAGATTATTGTGGTGGGGGTTCTAGGTGTCTCCTTATGTTCCCTATTTATATATCTAAGAGTCTTACTTAGGGCCTAATTACTATAGGTTTGCTAACTTTATTCCTTTTAGGACTAAGGGTTGGGTTTAGGGATAAGGGCCCATGGACTATGGTAGGTCTTTCCTAATTAATTATTGTGATTTAATTCTTTCTTTTGGGTAATTGGTTAAATGATTAATTGGTTTTAGGGATCGTCACACGGGGTGTTACACCAGGTGTAAGTGTATTTATGATCAACAACTTTGTAGTTAGGTAGCGCAAATTTGACAATGATGTAAAAACAATTTTGTCAGATAAAAAAATAATAGTATAATATTTATAAAGTAATGTACAATAGTACCATTATAAAAATACATACAAAAAATATTAATACCATAATGACCTAAATTATTATAATAATGCAAAATCATAATTGTAATATTAAGTTTTGTTCTAAATAATCAAAAGAAGATTAATTAAACGAAAAAAAAAAAAAAAAAAAAAACTCAACCTAAATTTTTCTTTTAAAATGCAAGAAAATTACATGATTTTCAGAGTTCCCGATTTCTAATCTTTGATGCTCAACTTTTAATGCTATGTATTTAGTCGAGCTAATTATTTGACCAAATTTTATGTTAAATTTTATATTATATTTTTTTAATACATTTTAACATATCCGTAGTATATGTTTAACAATTATGCCAAATTTAATTGGAATGAGGTTCGAACCTAAGACCTTTCTTATAGAAATTAATGAGTAAGTTAAGAATAATAAATAGTTAATGGAATGGAGCGGTTTGGGATGCCTGTTTACCAATGCCAAAGAAGGTAATTGCCGCTGCTACTGCCTCCATGCAAGTGTGGCAACGAGTACATCAACCGACTGCCGGCCGTGCGCCAGCCGACGACGCCGGCATTGCCAACACCCGACGCTGCTTACACAGCCACTACCTACCATCGTGGGCGAGACTGCTGCGGTACAGCCAAGACGATGCTATGTCGACACTGGATATCGCTATATGACGAAGACGGCCACGGTCGGAGCAATCCTATTCGACGACCAAGGTGGATACGTTTCGGCCTACAGTGCATCCCTGCCGAGTTGTTTCTCCCACTTATGGCCGAGACTTTCGCATGCAAAGAGGCATTGTCATGACTAAGAGTTCGTGGAGAACAGTCTATAGAGCTGTACACTCATGGCCCAGACTCGATCCTATATTGGTTACGCTATTGATGGTTGCAGAGATTGCATGTCTACATTTGATTTGGTTACGCTATTGATGGTTGCAGAGATTGCATGTCTACATTTGATTACTGCTCAGTTAATTTTATTCATAGATCACAGAATTATTTAGCTCATAATTTAGCTTCTACAACATTTGAACATGATACGACTATGTATTGGGACGTAGTCCCGCCTGTCTCTATTTCGGTTTATCTCTAAATATAACCACATTGGTTTGCTTTCAAAAAAATAGTTAACGAAATATTCCGTTACTAAAGTTTATACTAACGGAATTTAGAGTTATTTAATGGAAGAAAATAATATAATAGAGGGTAAATAAGAAAAATCATTAAAAAAAATACTAAAATCAAAATAATATTAACCATTCATTTTAAGAAACAATTATACCGATATCTTTTTTGTTTCAGTTAAGGGCCTAACATTATTGGTTCTTATTAGATTTGTAGATGTAGATGTAGATTAGGATCCACGCAGAAATGCAAATCTTCGTATTCAAATCAACTTCAACCTTAAATAAATAAATATTTGCCCACAATTGTTTTTTTTTTTTTTTAATTTAGGGTTGAAGTTGATTTGGTTACGAAGATTTGTATTTATGCGTGAATCTTAATAAGGGGAAAAATGAATAGTCTCAAATGGGATAAAAATATAAAAAGTTATCATTAGGACCCTATTTTTAACCGTCAACTAACAAAATTTTTAACAAATAACTAAATTGAGTTAATATCCAAAATCGTCCTCGACTATAGTGGTTTTTCTCAATTTCGTCCTAAACGACTTTGGTGACCTAATATCGTCCCAGACTTTTGTGTTTCGCTCAATTTAGTCCTCCATTTGTTATTCCGTCAAATTGGTGTTAAATTAAGGGACAATTCAGTAATGTTAATATTGATCTCTCTTTACTTTCAACTTGTGAAGTGCAAAATTCCTCTTTCTTGTACGAATTACACCCAGATTTACTCCCGGACCTGCAAATCAAATTTTATATTCGCAGTTTTAGGATTAATTCTGGAGTAATTCGTAAAAAAAAAAAAAGGGATTTCGCAGTTCACATGTCTATGAGTAAAGAGATGCCAATATTAAAATTACTGAATTGTCTATTTATTTAACACCAAATGGACAGAATAACAAATGAGGGACTAAATTGAGCAAAAACACAAAAATCTGGGACTAAATTGAGCGAAACACAAAAGTCTGGGACGATATTAGGTCACCAAAGTCGTTTAGGACGAAATTGAGAAAAACCACTATAGTTGAGGACGATTTTGGGTATTAACTCTAACTAAATTATACGAAGTCATCAAAATTATGGACTAAATTAAATACAAAAATTATTTAAGATTAAATTGAGTAAAATTAATAGTTGATAACTATATTTGGTATTAACTCAAAAGTCAAAAGAATATGAACAGATAAAACCTTAAGGCCGAATTTTGAAAGATTCACGTCTGTCTAAGTAAAAATAGACCGCCGGAGAAAGTGAGAAACAGTCGGAGATGTGGGTTCTCTAGGGAGAAGTTGGAGCTTCAAATCTAGAGTGAGAAACACTCAAACCCTGCCCACCCCTACTTGAGAGGCCGCGAGAGCGAGAGAGAGAGAGAGAATGGCATCGTCTGGAGTGTGGTTGGAGAAGGAGCTGCTGGAGTTATGCAAGAGGATCGATACGGGTCTGGATTTGGATAGCGAAATCATATCGGGTCTTGTATCTTACTGCGAGCTTGCTTCCCCCCTCGATGCGAAAGAGTATCTTGATGTGATTTTCTTCCCTTCGTCTTCATACCTGCAATTAATTTATCCACATTTTTTTACTTTTCTTCCCTTAATTTGGCTTTAATTATTTCGAAATTTATGGATAATACTGGCAATCTGAACATGCAATGTTCTAGGAAGCATCTTAATTTCCATTATTGGCTTCATTTTTCACTAATTCTTAGTATTGGTATATTGAACTCATTAAAATCATATGTATTCGTCCAAGTTTGTGGAACTCTCTCAACTTTGAGAGGAATTCAAATATTATTGCAGATGCAGTTGAAATTTATGACCTAAAAGCAGCCTACTAAATATGATGGAGATCAATTGTTAAGCATGTAAACTGGTTATTCTTTCTGCTTTGGTGTTCCACTTGACAATGATGCCCTAATATTTTTCTTTTAATACCTGAGGAGGCTAGTTAAGCGACATTCAGAGGAGTAGATGAAATTTGTAGAAATGCTCATTAGAGCATCATTTAGTAAGTCGTGGACTATGCTGCCTCACAAGTTTGCTTACTGCTTTTCATTCATCTGCATTAGAAAGCAAGTTTTTATTTTCTTTTCATGATTTAAAGTTTACAGCTTATGATTGTTGACCATTTAGATATTTACTCACTCTGTTGAAGTGAATGTATATGCTGCAACTATTTACCCATGTATAGTGACTGGTGAGTTGAAAATTCTTATGTGCTAGAGGATTTGGAAATTATGCTTTTTGGTACCCAAGTTTTGGTTTTGATCCTTCTCTTTCTACTTTTTAGATGTGATTACTTGATGAGTATGTTAATGAGGCAATATTAGTTTGATCCAATTTGAGATTGCTTCTCCCTTCAAGAATTTCAACCTTAGAATCCTGGAACTACAATGATATGATAAATTTAGTTATTTATGGTTAGGAGTTTCCTAATGCTGAAATAACTAATGTTATACAAAGGTGTAACTTGATTGTCAAACTGTAAGGTGGTGTTTGGTTCAGGTTACCTCACATAACCATAGGAATGTGAATATGGCAAGCATAAGACTCCCATTGTTTGGTTTCAGGGAACGTGAGATTTCCGAACTTTGTTTTTAGTTCATTTTTGGTAGCTTTCATGGGAATCACATTCTTAGGTTATGTGAGATTCCCAGGAATGTTAAATCTCTTGAACCAAAGTGCTTTCGATCATAAGCTTCTCTCAGTCTAATTCAATCCTTATACCAAATAACTAGAAGAATTGAATGTTTCATGGAAAAATGATCCTTCCCCAAGTAAGAAAAAGAGAACAAAAAAAAAAAAAAAACTATCATTCATTTGTTTGTGGAAGCATAGTGCGTGAAATGAAGGTTGTTTTGCTTTACTTGTTTTTGTGTCATCAATAGAATATCATTGGGCAAGAATCTGGAAAAGGAGTAATAGAGGAGTACATGAAGAGGAGAGGTCATTCAAACTTATATCAGAACACTCGAGATGCTTCTACATCCCAACTGCATGCATATGTAAAGCCACCTTCCATTGATAGTTTTGCTGCTGGAGCTAAGAAGCCTGTGAAAGTACGGAAAGATGATAAGGTCCATGTTAAGCAGGAAAGCCAAACCAAAGCTGAGACGTCAGATTCACAAAACAAGCAAAAACAGAGTCAAAGCAATTCCAAAAAGAAGAAGTCTGGCAAAGTTCTTTCTCTTGCCGAGGCTGCAAAAGGATCCATTGTATTTCAGCAAGGGAAGCCATGTTCATGCCAGGCCCGTAGGCACAGGCTTGTTAGCAATTGTTTATCTTGTGGGAAGATAGTCTGTGAACAGGAAGGTGAGGGGCCTTGCAAATTTTGCGGTTCTCTTGTTCTCAAAGAAGCAAGCTCCTATGCTGGTCTGGATGGTGCACTTCCAATTTCAGATGCTGAGGCTGCAGCTGAAGCCTTTGCAAAGAGGCTTGTTGATTACGACCGCAATGCTGCAGCACGTACTACAGTAATAGACGACCAAAGTGATTACTATGAGATTGAAGGGAATAGCTGGTTGTCAATGGAGGTATGAACTATCATCTTGTGATGTCCAAATATCCAGCATATATACTGCTGATTTTTTCATTCTATGTTCTAAACAGGAAAAGGAACTCTTAAGAAAGAAGAGGGAGGAGATAGAGGAGATTGAACGTGCCAAACGCAGTAAAGTTGTCGTGACATTTGACCTTGTTGGACGCAAGGTGGCATTTGCTAATTATCCTTTTTTTTTTCTTTCTTAAATGCTTGGAAGGCCTTGGTTTCTTATCCCTCATGCATAACACTGATATTATTCTGACTCCAATGCGAACTAATTTGTGGGCTAAAATGTTCACATTCCTTTACTCTATTTGGCAGGTGCTTTTAAATCAAGATGAGGTCTCGGGCGAATTGCATAATGGGTCACTACTTCGGCCATCTGAGGAGGAGGAAAAGGAAAAGGACAATGCACGCTTTAAGCCAAGCCCAAATCTCAAGATACAACCGATCTTCCTTGATCCTGGCCCCAGGAGAACTCCCAAGGAGGACAAGAACAAAGTTTTGAAGAACGGGTTGTGCTTGGAGATTACCGGAAGAGTGCAACATGATGCCAATGAACTCGCACGTGGCAAACAAGAAAGGTCTTCAAATGCCAAGTCTTGGCATGAACCCTCTGTTAACAAAAGACCCCCCAATATTGCAGATGACAATGAATGCTCCTTAGATTACAACTAAAAAAAGAAGAAAAACATACGGCAGTTATTCAATATTCAGCTTGTAAGAAGTTGAGGATTTTCCCTACAGATACGCCTAAGTGCATGTTTGGCCATAGCAGATAAGCTCCAAAAATTGTGATCCAAACCTAGGTGTTTTATCACAGAAAAGTGATCTTTTAATGCAATTTTACCTTTTACTCTCAAAAGCCATACTCTCTTAGGTGTCTTCATAAGAAAACAAAGAAAATAAAGGGTTGAGACTGATAGACATTATAACTTTAAAGTGTTAGCTCAAATTGTGACCATCTCAGAAAATTAAGTACTGGGAGTAGAAAATTTTGCTCCTTTCATAATTTTCTTTCTTAGTTTTTGTTTCTTACTTTCTTATGTTGCAATTTCATTAATGGTACTCTTCTTTTATCTCCATTTTGCTAAAAAGTTGAGGCCATCATATATTTCTATCGTGACCTTAAAACCTCTGGGTTTATGTTCTCAACTCCATTTGGCAACAAAGTGTAATTTACAAAGACTCCAAGGAAAACAAATCACCATTTTAGAAAGGTGAATAGAGAAATTTATGTATAATTCATGTTTGAATTAAGAATATATGTTTGGCTATTTTTGCTACAATCTTTTGCATAGTTGACATGCTTGGACAAAATAATTACTTAGCCTGAATTCCTCCTGCAAGTTTTGAAATTGCAAGCAGAGGTGTAATTATATAGGTCCTGTTTGGTAATATAATTTATCAATCAATTTTAACTTATTTGACCACTATTAGCTGTTTGACTTGGTTAAATAATTAATATGAGTATTTGGTTAATTAACTTTTTGTAACAACTACCAGGACTATGTGGTCCAATGGTATCCGGGTTGGACTTCCATTTGGAAGATTATAAGTTCAAGCCTCAGTGGAGGCGTTATTGGTTCTTTGTGTTTCAATAGGTTGAGAAAGTATATGAACAGATACTACAATGTAATAGAGCCAGTAACTTTCAAAAAAAAAAAAACTTTTTGTAACAACTTATTGCTTCAAAATACTAAAATTCAAAGTAACTTTTTTGATCAACTCTTTAATAAAGTTATTTTGCATGTAATCAGTCATCAGTTAACAGTTAATTTACCAAATATTTTTTTACTATTAGCTAATACTATCAACTAGTCAAATCCACTAACTCAATCAACTATTAGTTATTTACCAAACACCTCCATAATTTATTTTATTTTTGGGAAAATGACACTTTTCCCCCCTGAGTTATATACTTATAGCACTTTTTCCCCCTCAATTATTTAGGTAAGCACATTAGCCCCTTCAATTATTCTAAAAGTGGTTGTTTTCCCCCCTAATATATTAAATTGACATTTATACCCTTAAAATAAATATTTTATTTATTTTACTTCTCCAACAAATTATTGCGTATACGTAGGGATGACTACGATTCGGTTCGAATTGAATCGGACACTATAGCAATCGAATTAAAAGTTTCCGGTTATGATTCAGATCTAGAACCCAATATTTGGATTTCAATTTATTAAAATTATGAATCAAAAAAATTGGATCCTGAACCGTGAACTGGCGGTTCCAGACCCGATTCGCGATTTCGAACCGTTTTTATTTTAAAATTTTATTTTTATTTTAAAAATAGTCTAAATTCAACAATAAATGTATTTTATTTTTTCAGTTCGGAACATGAACCGTCTGTTCCGGGATTTTAATAAACTCTAAATATTGAGTTTCGGTTCTAAATTGTAATTGGAATATTTCGGTTTGGTTGCTATAGTGTTTATTTGGTTTGAACCAAATTATGGTCATAATTTGTTGGAGAAGAAAAATAAATAAAATATTTATTTTAAGGGTAAATATATCCATTTAACATTTTAGGAAGAAAAACAACCACTTAAATAATTGAGGGGAAAAAAGTGCTATAAGTATATAACTCAGGGGGAAAAAGTGTCATTTTCCCTTTATTTTTTATTAGTGAGGGGTGTTGCAATCGCACTTTCCGTACATAGAAGGTTGCCGAATCGACAGCCTTTTTGTACTATTATTCATTTTTTAATTCTTATTTTCTTTTTTTTTTTCTTTTAAATAATTGTATTTTTTATTTTGTATTATGTAATTAAATTATTAATAAAGAAATAGTAGCATATTAATAATTGTATTTATTTTATATTATGTAATTGAATTATTATAAAGAAATAACATATTAATAAATAATTACACAAAATTTTCATTAATTCGTACCCTTAACAATGCATACAATTATTATATACATAATACGAATAAATTTTTTATTTAAAAAAATAATTGTACATATTTTCAAAATTTATTTTTAATATTTGATTTTAATTTATATATTAATACAAAACAATAATTGTGAAGAGAAAATAATATCTATTGATAAAGGATAATAATTTTTTAATATAATATAAAAGTGTGACCGTGTGATCACTTTTAAAAGTGAAAGAGTATTACGAAGGTGTAGAGAAAATTTTGAATGAATTGTGAATTTGATGATCTGGAAGTATAACCTATTTTTAAAAGTGAAAGAATATTACATAGATAAAGATAACGTTAGCGTTATGTAATTTCTATATTTGTATGAGTCATTTTTATATAAGTTACATATTTTATTAATAATATATTATGTCAATCAAAAATTCAAAATACAAATCAACTTGGTTGGCGTGAGTGGTCATGCACTCTCATTCTTTAAGAGAGGTCAATTGGGCCGAGCCGGTGCAAATAACACCATCTCGATTGAATTCGTCGCATTGGGTCTTCCTATTGTAGTTTACCTCTCTTGTGTGATTTGTAGACTATTATACATGAGTAGAATTTTAGCTAGTGCATACTTTTGAGTAGTAGCTGCGAGTTTCTCTCACAAAAATTGCACAATATAATTTTTAAAAAGTAGTAGAGAATAGTTTTTTTTTTTTTTTTTAAATAAAGAATATTGCACATTTGACTTAGGTGATGTGCTAGATAATATGATAAAAATAATTTTATAATGAAAAAAAGTCAAATAAGTTACTGAACTTTACTCAAAAAATAAATTAGATTCTTAAACTTTTAAAAATTACAATTAAACTCATAAACATGTTATTTTAGAGCATTGAAACCCAGAGATCGGTTGGTGACCTGTGATTTCAGGTCATTAGGATTCCGGCTAACTCTGGTGAGCCTCCAACCAATCTCCGACAACAAGATACCGATGATCGGCAACCAAACGGTCATCGGTTGCGTTTGGGGAAGGTTGGTCTCTTTCTTCGGCGATTGGAGAAGACAGACCAAAACGGTCGTCGGTCAACCTATATTTTGTTGTCGGAAATTGGTCGGAGGCTTGCCAGAAGGATCGTCAGAACCCTAATGACCTGCAATCACGGGTCACGAACCGATTTCTGGACTTCAATGCTCCAAAATAACATGTTTATGAGTTTAATTGCAACAACTTTTAAAATTTGAAGGGCCTAATTAATTTTTTTGAGTAAAATTCAGGGGCCTACTTGACATTTTTCTCTTTTATAATTATTGTTTATCACACTTTCAAAAAATAATATTAAAATAAAAAAAAAAAATCTCACAACCCCGGCACACTGAAATGAGAAAGAAAGCAAGCAGGCAAGATCGCAAAAGAATAATTAGAGAAATTGAGAAATTGGTCGGATTTATTAGTACAACAAAAGTCCAACCTCGGATTTCATGAAAACATCGGATTTTTCGATGCCTATATCACAACTGGAACTGCAACTGCAACATAGTTTCTCTCTCCCTGTCTGCCCTCTTCACAACTTTCTTGATCGCAATTCACAGTTTCTTCAATTATTCTCTTCTCAGACAGTAACACATCTGTATGAGTAAGTTAACTATTTATTTACTAATTTTGTTCAAATATCATTTTTTTTTTCAATTATTGTGTATTGGGCTTTGGAACTTCTTCTGGGTTTGGATTCAATGATGAAAGTATAATTTCATAGGCATTAGTATATATGAACGAACACCCTTATCTGTTATTTAAGAGATTGAATTTTCATGCCAGAAAAGAAAGAGAGAAAAATTCATTCCACAGATTTGTACTTTCTTATGATTTCCCGTGCTATTTTGCAGTTAAGGCTTTACATTGTTTGTATCAAATATAATAAAACTTACTAGTTAATTAGTTGATTAAATGAGTAAGGGCTTTGAGCAAAAGGCTTTAATTAACTAAGTCTTCTTAATGTCTAGAAAGGATGAGATTACTGAATTGAGATCAAAGAAATTTTCTAAACTTTGTTAGATTCTAATGCAGCATATATAACTGCCTTAATAATCCCGCGATTGTTAAAGTACTGTGAAAGGCGAACGATTACAGGTAGATCATGGCGATAAAAGGAAATCCAGGAGACAACAGGGCTAGAAGCTCGGTTTCGTTATTTATTGTAGCTGGTCTCTGCTGTTTCTTCTATCTCCTGGGAGTATGGCAAAGAAGTGGTTTTGGGAAGGGGGATAGTATAGCACACGAGATAACGAAGAAGGCAGATGACTGTGGCATCCTCTCGAATCTAGAATTTCAAACCCACCAAATGGCTAAGGCCGATGAATCCAAGCAATTCGAGTCTTGTGATGAGCGATATCTTGATTACACACCGTGTCAGGATCAAATGCGGGCAATGACTTATCCTCGAGAAAATATGGTGTATCGGGAGAGACACTGTCCGCTAGAGGAAGAGAAGTTGCGTTGTCTTGTTCCAGCCCCGAAAGGGTATGTGACACCGTTTCCTTGGCCTAAGAGCCGAGACTATGTTCCCTATGCAAATACACCACATAAGAGCTTAACAGTTGAGAAGGCCGTGCAGAATTGGGTACAATATGAAGGGGATGTTTTGAGATTCCCTGGTGGCGGAACACAGTTCCCCGAGGGGGCAGATGCGTATATCGAACAACTTGCTTCTGTGATCCCGATAGACAATGGTACAGTCAGAACTGCATTAGATACTGGATGCGGGGTGAGTTAACAGATTGCGACACATCCTTCAGTTTCTTTCATTGCCCAGTTGTAATTCTTGTGCACTTTCAATATATATATATATATATATATATATATATATATATATATATATATATATATATATATATATATGTGTGTGTGTGTGTGTGTGTGTGTGTATTAAGATATAGCTTACCGCGAAGACGCAACTTTATTTCCTTATATACTGCCACCACATTTTCGAGAGGCAGAGTGCTGGTCTTGACCCTTCACCAGCCTCCGCCCAACAATCCCCTCCCAGCACCTGCCAGTCTTAACTGCACAGTTTTTACTCTGGTTTGGCTTTGATACCACTTGTTAGGATCGAGCGCTTACCACTATGCCAAAAGCTATAACTCATAGCAAAGACGCAACTTTATTTCCTTATATACCGCCACCACATTTTCGAGAGGCAAGGTGCTGGACTTGGCCCTTCACGCAACAATCCCCTAGCTACCAATCGCTGGACTTGGTCCATCACTGGCCTTCGCCCAAAAATCTTTTTTAAAAAAAAAATAATAGTAATAATCATCATCTAATATCCGTTTGTATGATTTCCTTCTCTATTTGTTAACCTTTTAGGGTTTTCTATGTTCTACAATGTGAAAGCTTCTAGTAGCCATCATAGGTGAAGCACATTTCCAGCGAGCTTGAATGCCTATATTTTTACTGATATATTGCGTGTTGATTTCTAGGTAGCAAGTTGGGGTGCCTACCTTTTCAAGAAGAATATCATAACCATGTCATTTGCTCCAAGAGACTCACACGAAGCACAAGTGCAATTTGCTTTGGAAAGAGGTGTGCCCGCAGTTATTGGTGTTTTGGGAACTATAAAGCTACCATATCCATCTCGGGCCTTTGATATGGCTCACTGTTCACGTTGCTTGATACCATGGGATGCAAATGGTAAGCCTTCATCGTAGACAGCTGTTGTGTGCCATAAATGGTCCCTACCATGATTTTGAAACACTAACACATCCTCTAAGGAGTCCCGATTCATGAAGCTTCTTGACCTTTTGTAATAATAATTTTAAACCGGTTGTTCATTATTATATGGCTGCGTGTTCCCTCACAAAATATTGCCACTTTGTATGTAGGTGGAATATATATGATGGAGGTTGATAGAGTGCTTAGACCTGGGGGCTATTGGATACTATCAGGCCCTCCCATTGACTGGAAGAATAACTATCAAGAATGGAAGCGTCCCAAAGAAGAGTTGGAGGAGGAACAGAGGAAGATCGAAGATATTGCGAAGCTTCTGTGCTGGGAAAAGAAGCATGAGATGGGAGAGATTGCCATTTGGAGGAAACGGAAAAGCAATGAGTATTGCGAGCGAGATTCTCGCACAACTATGTGTGAATCTGCAGGTGCAGACGATGTTTGGTACAAGACGATGGAGGCATGTGTAACTCCTTATCCCGAGTCTTCGGATTTGGATGAAGTTGCGGGTGAGGAGCTTAGGCCATTCCCTGAGAGACTCAATGCTGTTCCTCCAAGAGTTGCGAGTGGATCTATTCCGAGACTCTCTGCTGAGTTGTTCGTGGAGGATAATAAATTGTGGCGAAAGCACACGAATGCTTATAAGAGAGTTAATAAAATCCTTGATACAGGTAGGTATCGCAATATTATGGATATGAACGCCGGTTTGGGAAGTTTTGCTGCAGCACTCGAGTCTTCCAAATTGTGGGTCATGAATGTCGTACCGACTATAGCCAACAGAGACACCCTGGGCATTATATATGAGCGTGGCTTGATTGGCATATATCATGATTGGTAAATTTTCTTGAGCATTCTTGCAACTTTTATCTTCTCATTTGGCCCATGTAGCCCGTTCTTTTCTTAATGTGCTGCCGATTTACTGGAAAAATAGCTGTTAATTATCATTGAACCTTTCACATTGGTGCTCTTCTTTTGTTTTTCCCCTACTTCACCGGCCACTGCCCAACAATTCCCCCTCCCAACACCTGTCAGCCTTAACTGCACAGTTTTTACTCTTGTTGGGGGCTCGAACCCGTGACCTGGCTCTTTACCACTATGCCAAAAGCTATAGCTGGTAGCGAAGGCGTAACTAGTGTTGAAAAAGAGGCTAGGCGCCCGGTTTTTTAATTTTTAAATTTTTTTCTTTTTTAGGAGGTATTCGCCAAAAAAAAAAAAAAAAAAAAAAACTAAGGTTCGGCCTGGCCGCGGAGGAGGCTGATTTTGGCGTTCCTCGATGCGGCTGGGCGCCGCTAGCGCCTAGGCGCGATTTTTGCAACCATGGGTGTAACTTTATTTCCTTATATGCCGCCACATTTTCGAGAGGCAGGGTTCACCGGCCTCCGCCCAACATATTCTATAATTGGAGATCCTAATTATTTACCAAACTCTGTCTTGCAAATGAGTTCAAGTATTTCCATAATTTGTTTAATCCATGTATGTCTCTCTAATTTTCCTTTCATCTTTTTTCTCGACTTCCTCTCCAGGTGTGAAGCTTTCTCTACCTACCCGAGGACATATGACCTCATTCATGCCAATGGTCTTTTCAGCTTGTACAAGGACACGTAAGTTACCTTTATGGTATTACCATTACTATTTTTGGACATAAAACGAGACTGAAGCCTCTTCATTAGAATTAAGATCCATTCGTCTTCAATAGTTGATACTCACATAAAATGTCATCAAGTGAAAAATACGTATTTTGAATGGCTGTATGCATATGCATGCAGGTGTAGTGCTGAAGACATCCTACTGGAGATGGATCGAATTCTAAGACCAGAAGGTGCGGTTATATTTCGAGACCATGAAGATACCCTAACCAAAGTGAGAAAAATAGTGGCGGGTATGAGGTGGAACACGAAAATGGTTGATCATGAGGACGGGCCGCTTATCACAGAAAAGGTACTATTTGCCGTCAAACAATACTGGGTAGTAGGGGAAAATAATTCAACGATGTCACGTTTTGCAAATAGAAACTAATGCTACTGTGTCTGATTAGCGCTGAAAGTTTGGATTTGGTTTTTTATTCTTCCACATAGGATTTAACAAGTAGAAATCTACAGGATTTAACATAGGATTTGGAATTATCACAGGTTTCTTTTTCTGTTCTGTTGTTGTTGTAATTGGGTTCTTCATGTTTAGATAGCCTTCATGTTAGTTACATATTTTTTGTAGATTAGCATTCTTAATTCCTTATTCCAGTCAAACATTACTCATATTTGGTAATCTACTTGTAATTCTTCAGATACATTTATTACAGAAACCATTTCTGTTTTTACTGTTTATTTTTTGATATTTTGCTTGAAGATTCTTTGGAAGTTACTTGCCTATTTGAGTATTTTGCTACATGGACCTTGGTCCACACAGCTGTGTGGTCCATAAATAAAAAGCACATTATTTATATATGTAAAGTACATTATTTGAGTGCTGAAAGTATATTATTTTACATACTATTAAATAATGTATATTCGTTTTAAAAAAATAATAATAATAATGTACATTCAGTACACAAATAACGTATTTTTAGTATGTTAAACATGTATCTTGTATTCATGGTTTACACAAAAATTTGCCACTTAACTCTCTCACACACCATTGTAAATGGTTGTTTGGTTCGAACATGAAACCATAATCAAATCAAATGGCAGATTATACCATGAACCAGGGTCTACCTTGCATTGTAGACCCTGGTCCATAATATAACAATTGGTGCCAAGGCAATACAGTTTACAAAGTATAACCATGTCGGATGATGCTTGTGAGTTGTGACTGATCAGACACTTGTGTCACAGATTGTCTGTGAATTGTATTAAATGTTTGGTTTGATGTTGTTTATTCCAATTAGTATCATAAACTTGTATTGTTATGAAACTACTCCTGGTGTTACAATTGCTATTTGCAATTGGATAATTTGTATTTTAAATTAAATTTACAGAGCAATGAATTTTTTATTTATTTATTTTTTATTTTTACTTTAATTGCTTTCCGATCATCAAAAGTGGTCGGAAACTGACACCCAATAAATAAGGATATATTATTATTATTTTTATTTATTGTTAATGTATTTTAAATTTAAAATATAAATTTGAGAAAATGAAACATATAGCCCTTCCGTCACTCAGTAATATCTATTTTCCCTGAATTTGACAAACTATAAGTTCCAATGCGTAAATAACATAGAACAATAGAGTGCTATGGAATGCTGTTTTGGTTAGAGCCATTTCAGAATAATGTGCCAAAAAAAAAAAAAAAAAAAAAAGCAAAAGCAATTACACTTGTGATTTGAAATTCCTACCAAATTTACTTGGCACCTATTAGCACTGATAACTTACCTTAAAATATAAATAATTATAGCAATTATAAAGTAATAAGAAAAGCTATATTAAGCTACATCTTTGAATGATTTAGCAATTAGCAACGGTAACTTACCTTACAAAAAATATAAATAATTATAGCTGTTATGAAGCAATATGAAAAAGCTATATTAAGCTACATCTTTCAAAGATTTAGAAGAAAATAAAAATCCTTTGCATAGATTTGCAAAGGATTCTTGCTTTGAAAGATGGCTACGGGCAGTCGGTGTGCAGCATGCAGGCAATTGAGAAAGAGATGCACTTCAGATTGCATATTTTTGCCATATTTTCCTCCCAACGATCCTCAAAGATTTGCTGTTGTTCACAAAATCTTTGGTGCCAACAATGCCAGCAAAATGCTAAAGGTATTATATAATGATATAATATATAACTATTTTACTTCAATTTCTAGTTAATTTTTTATTACTCCATATCCCATTTCATGCATACATATACTACACATCTCTGATCTGTTTGTTTGTGTGTGTACGTATATACATATGTATTTACATGTTGTCAAGGAGTAGTGTATATTTGTATATTTATTATTCAATAATTGTTTGCTGGAATACTTTAGCTAAGGAATTAATCTTGTAATTAGTATACATAGAATTAGCAGTGTCGATTGAAAGCACTATATAATCTTGGGAGTTGAGTGTCCAAAAAAAAAAAAAATTGCAATTAATGTAGAGTTTACATGTAATTCGTGAGTTTATATATCTAACAATATCAGTGACAACAAACCATGCATATAATTTTTGTTCCAAATCATGCTTTCAGTTGTTAGTTGTCATTAAACTGGAAATACACAATATCAATTTACGGTGAAGGGTTAAATCTCATCTTTTGTGATTACTGCATAAATATATTTCAGTGAATTGAACTTTGATGCAGTGATTATTCTTGATTCTTGAATTATTGTTTTGATTAAAACAGCAAGTAGAAGAGTATAAACGAGGTGATGTTGCGGAATCCTTGTACTACGAGGCACAATGTCGAGTAGAGGATCCGGTATACGGCTGTGTTGGAATCATCACACTTTTACAACAGGAAATTTACAATTTTGAATCGCAATTGGCGAAAATTGAAGCACAGATTCAACTGCTCAAGGCTCAAGGAGTAGCAACACCAAGCCATTGATGATTTTTTTATTATCAACATTTACTTTAATTTGCATCAATGGCCCAATAAATGTTTCCTATTTTCAATTTAGAAAATAAAATTCACCTTTGATTAAAAAACTTCATATTTTTCTTCTTCTTTTTTTTTTCTAATTTTTTTAATAATAAAGAAATTTTCCAATTCTCTTAATTATTTTTAATTTATATGCTTATAGATAGTATATACTGGTTTAAAAAAAGATAGTATATACTAAGTATGAATGACTACTATTTTGTAATGGCAAACATTTTGTACATCAAGACATTAGGTGATCAGATTTTACTTTTACTACTTGACGCAGAGTATGTCACCAACTTTTAAACAAAAATTATAATGAATACCGACACGAGAGATGAATTATATTTAAATTATTTAAAAAAAAAACACTAGTTATTACTGATTTACTGTGGTGAGAATAATGTGATTAAAATGATTCAATTATCACAATTATAACCGCAAAAAAGAGATGTTTTTGTCTTTAAAAGATGGTTGGGCAGAATCTATATGATTCTTTGAAGCTTAGAATGTTTAGATGAAAGCTAGCTTAAGAGAGTTTGATCAGATTATGTTGCTTGTGGAGTTGTGGTTTTATCTATATTTTATGTGTTTCAGAAGTGTCCCGTTTATAGAGTATGAAGTGCCAAAAATTCAAAATTAACTTGAAAAGTATATGTCGGTGCTCTTTGAGATGGTAGCTAACCAAAGGTTGCCATCTTCTCATTTTATGTTGCACTTCTTTGACTACTTGGTATAAATTAACCATTTTTTTATTTTTATTTTTTAGTATAATACTTCACTTTATCTCCAAAAGGGCTTTTTGCAGCTTTTTAGAATTTGTTTTTGTTGTTAGAAATCTTGAGAAATGTGTTTAAAAATTCTTTTCTCATAAAACATATTCTTTATTTCTCGTATTTTAAGTTGATTTTGGTGTAGATACTTTAATTAGTAGACGTTGGATTTTCTGCGCCAGGAAGATCTGATGAGCCTTAACTTAGATAGTTTTACCAACTCCAATCATGATTGGATCTTAAAACATTTATGAGAAGATCCTCAATATATAAATTAAATTAAAGATCTTTCGTTAACTTGATATGTTGATGAGCCAAATTAATAGGTCGATCTTTAATTTATTGAATATATAGAGACAATTGGGTCTATCGGAAGGGTTCTTCAATTTAAATTTTGCTTAAATCAATACTAGATTTTGATATCTATTGAAGGATACTGAATAACTTTTACAGAAGTATAGATCTACTGTATCAAATTTACTTGTGGGATCTTCGGATATGCTAGGTAGAATTTTGAATAAAAATTCTAAATCCTATTTTGACATTTACAAATAATCCTAACAAAAAAAAGAATTACAATAAAATGGCGGCATTTTTTTTTATAAAAGATAAATATGTTTTTATTTTTTGAGATTTATTATGTGCTATCATTTTTTAAAAATTATTTATATACATATATAATACTCGTATTAAACATTAATATTAATAAATGAAGTATTGTAAAAATATTTCTAGTCATAGAAATTCTAATTGGGCATTAGAATTCTGATAAGACTAGCACATTGTCCTTCTTTTGGTAAGTCTCATGCCATTCTGTATGAAATACTGAGAGTAGACATGTGGATGATTGTTAGAGAACAAGTCATTGAACAATGACTGACTACAACGTACTGCATGGTGTTTACCTACGTGTCATCGGTATGTTGTATATTACAAGTATGCAATAATCATTTGAATTGAGACGACATGGTTATCTCGTACATATGGTGAACTAGTTTATGCCAGTATGCGTCTTTTGTTCCTTATGGGACTATAAGTGTACTTTGTGACCTAGTTCAGTATTATACGGAGACATGTGTGCGTTCAATAGAGGATCCACCGCCTTGAGGTAACAAGGATGTTCTAGTCTATTCAATAATCATACAACGAGAATCTCTGGCCAGAGCATAATGAAGCTGGACTTCAGGTTAAGAATATTGAATAGACATATTAACCAGGTTTATGGGTTTGACCAAGTTTGATGATAACCTTTACCTGGTTCAGAACAAGTTTGTGTGTGAAAAAAGATCGTGAGTCTTGAATGCAAGAAATACCTAGTTGGTTCCATTAGGTCCATGTGTATCAGCTCCAGACAGTGCTTTGTGTTGATGATGTTTTGAGCTTTATGTGGTGTTCTAGTTTGTTTCCCGGCTTGACAAGCACTGCATACTCCCACAGTTTCAGTTTTCGGCTTTGGTAGACCTAGAACACCTTCGACTTTCACAAGTTTATCCAAAGCTCTATAATTTAGATATCCTAATTTTTGATGTCAAAGTTCTGATTCGTTGACAGTGGACCTGCAACAGGAAATATCATTAGTTAGTATGTAGCAGTTATCAGAAGATAGCTTAACTTCCATAACACATTGTTTTTTTTATCATCCATAACATTGCAGTTGTCCTTTGTGAAGCAAACATTTCAATTCTGGTTACAAAGTTGACTAATGGTGATGAGATTTGTGTGTAGAACTTTCACGAGCAACACTTTCTTTAGATTAGGTAGGACTACAACATTTAGTGTACCAACGCTAGTAATTATGCCTTTTACGCCATCTCCAAATGTGACCTCTCCATTGCTTTCTTTAACATTATTGAGATATTGCGCATTGCCTATCTTGTGGCGTGAACAACCATTGTCGAAGTACCACTGTGGAATGAAATGATACATGACATACAAAGTTAGTTTTCATTACCCAAAATTTCTTAACGAAAGGGGTAATGCGTTTTTTTTTGTGTGTACTTCTCGACCCTTTGGTCCTTATAAAAATAGAAGCATTCAGGTCTGGTATGGCCACATAACTTGCAATAATGACAAATTGGGTTATAACTTTTATAGTTAACTTTAGTTTGACATACTTTACCATGACCTCGCTGAGCTGTGCGTGATTAAGTTACATCTGTATCTGGTCTAGACGCTCTGACAAAGACAGTGTTGTCTTGATTTTTGCCTTCAGTAAATCCTAGGCCAAACTTGGTACGTGGTAGATTTTTTGTCCTGAATCAAGGATTTGATCCAGAGTAGAGGTATTGTCCATCATCTTTATCCGTTTCTTGAGCATTTCCAACTCATGCTTCACATTTTCCTCACGAGCAAGTCATGCCTATATGAGAATATCTCTATCAGAAACATGATTTTTATACATTTTTTCAGCATTCTTTAATAACCTAACTTGGCTAGACAATGAACAATTAACTTTAAACAAGATCTCCCATTTGGAGTACAATTTTTTATATTGTAATTCGAATGGAGGAGTTGACAACTCTTTGTCTTCGGCTGATGTGTACTCGCCACCTTCTAAATCAGTTACATCTTTAGTTTCTGGCTCAGCGACAATCACAACTATGAAAGCAATGAAGTTCCCTGAAATTTCCTCTGTGTTAGACTCAGGTGCTTCTGATCTAGGTTCATCATCACTCCAAGTTAGTGCAGTCATGGATTTTTTTATTCTTAAATGTGTGGGACACTCTGCTTGGACATGGCCGTAAGCTTCACATTCATAGCAACGAATTCCTTTGCTACTGGATTTGTCTTTTGATTGAGAAGAACATGAGGAAGGGGGTTTGTTGTAGCTTGAAGATCCAGTTTTTGATGTATTCTTTGATGAGCTTGAGCTAGACCCTTTTTTATTTTGGAACTTACCTCACGTGAATTATTCTTTTGCTTTACCTGTTTCAAAAACTTAGAAAATTGTTTAATTAATAAAACTACACGACTCATCTGGATAAGATACATGATCTTGTTCTTCAGCTGCAAAGGCAATGTTCTTCTCATTTTTGGTATGGTCGGAGACGATCTCCATCTCATATGTCTGTAGATTTCCCATTAACTATGCTACATGTTCTCCCAACCTGCATGCTCCTGAATAGCTGTTACCTTCATTCTGAACCGTTGTGGCAAGGACCGAAATTTTTTCTTTATTAACTTGGGTTGAGGAAATGGTTCACCAAGAACAATGGAATGGTTTACAAGCTCTTGTACTCGAGCATTGAAATTTACAATGGTCTCTTCTTCCTTCATTCTAAGTTGCTCGAAATCAAACTGGACTAGCTGCAACTTTGACTATTTAACATAACTTGTACCTTCACATGTGGTTTCCAATATTTCCCACACTTCTTTTGCAGAATCACAACCTGTCTGCAATAAGAGTAAACTAAACTTCATGCATTAGTGAAAAAATGATGCCAAGTGCCTTGTTGTTGAAGCCGCCTGAAGTCATTTCAGTTTTAGCCCATTCTTATCTCAAGTTTGGACACTAGAGGATCTTCTGGAGTTGCACCATGCTTGGTGGGATGCTTCCATCCCGTTAGGACGACTCTCCAAACTCTTTCACCTAGAGATCTAAGGTGCATCTTTGTACGAGCTTTTCAATAAGCGTAGTTATCACTTGTTAACTCTGGTGGTCTATATGTTTATCAATCCTGAAACACTCAGTAAACAGTAAGCACGAACAAATATAATAAAATAAAAGCGCACACACAAGTTGAGTTCTTGAGTTCAAGAAACACGATGCAATCAGGTCGTTGGATTAATAATTTAAGTCCACGTGCTCTGATACCAATTGAAAAAGGTTCGTGAATCTTGAATACAAGAAATACCTAGTTGGTTCCTACTCACTTTTAATTGAATTAATTATCTGGATTATAGACTGTATCTGGCACAATGATGGTTTGCAAGATAAAAGATAAGTAAACAAAGAAACACAGCAATTGGTAACATAGTTCGGAGCAAAATCTCCTATGTCTGCGAGACTACTCAACGTTAGCCATACACACTATGACCTTAACCATTTACATCAACTCAATCTTCATCATCTACTTGAGTGGGTATGTGCAAGCCAAATAAACACTTCAAACATCAAAACACCATGCTCCCATTCCGTGATAATCTTGTAGACCTTTTAGAATACTCCAAGGATGAGAGATATGTTGGAAA